CCATCTGATCATCACGTGTGGTCAATGGTCAGAGGAGTACAGCTAACGACACGTGGACGGCTACGGAGTTATCGGTACTTGGTCAACTTTATCTCTTAACTTGGTAGTGGCCGAGGTTTCTGTTTAAAGAATGGAGTGGTGAGGATCCTATGAGCAGCATGCATCACGGAGCAAGGTTTAACTTCGAAAACAGATAAGAACGTTTGGTCCCAAATCTATTCTTTATTTAAAAATAAGTTTCCAAAACGCCTTATTTTAGTTATTCAAATATTTTAAATTTATCATATATGTAAAAGTAGTATTTTCAATTAATTATTAACACATATTGAATTTCCATTAAAACAACTAAATCCGAGTAAACCTTCTCTCCATCATCTCTCTCTTTTCATGAGCAAAAGGAACAATAGGAAAAAAATCTCAGGACCGGTGATAATAGCCGCCAATGATCGCTTAATGACTGTTATTGATGATGTCTCCTGCATTACCTCGATCGTGACAAGATGACTGACAATGTCAGACGATGGTGGCCCAATGATGATTTCCGGAGGGCTTCTTTAAGGGGGTGTTTGTTTCAAAAAAAAATTGGCATCTGGATGGGATTTCAAATTCTAGGATCAAAAAGTGGGTTTTTTTGGGTTTTAGAATTTCATAAAACTTGTTTGTTTCAAAACAAATTTTAGAATATCAAATCCTCAAATAATAAAAAAATATTATATTTAAGGATTTGTGAAATCCTATTTTTTGGGTGGAATGTGTGGTGGATTTCAAAAGTGTTAGACAAATTAAGGATTTTAAATTCTAAAAAGTTTGAAACAAATAAAAATATTACAAATTATAGTATTCCAAATCCCAAAATATTGTTGAAACAAATAAAGTTTTAGGAATCTCAACTCATAATAAATTACCTATGGATTTCAAATCTCATGATAAATTCATATCTTAAAATTATAGGATTTGAAACAAACACCCCTAAAATAAAGAAGTATTGACAGTTAAAATATGGGACCAACAGGGGGGACAGGTGAGATGTCTCCTTCTTATTGCATAATGAGCCGGTCATCATTAATAATGGTCAGCTCATTATGCAATAGGAGGGGGACATCTCACATGTCCCCCCTGTTGGTCCCATATTTTGGGTCCCTGTAACAAGGCTCATTGTATAATTACATTGAACTTATACGAATCATTTTTATGGAGTATGAGTTTTATCAGAATGCCTCATATCATACAGTGTTTTGAGCAAAACAAATACCATGTGGGACAGCTTGGATATTTCATGGCAGCCTGTATAGTTCTAAGTACCCTCCATGGTACATGATGCTTTATAAATCACACTTGTTTTTACCGTGATCTTTGGAAGTGCTCTTTCTGTATAGAACTACATAATTATCTTCGCCTTTTGAATGTCAAATTCAATTATATTAGTCTCTTTTGATAGTCTCTTGAATCTTTATTGTTACATAGTTTTCTTAAACTTTTAACAGATGGTAAATATAGATGAATTTTATATGAGAAAAATATAGGAACTTGCTATTAAACACAAATTTTGTGCTTGATATTGAAGTGTCTCATTCTCATCCACCATTTAACCCATGTGAATATAGTCTCTCATTTAAATGAGTGGATGATAAATTTCCTCCATATTACACACACACACGGAAAAAAATGATAAAATGAGATGGTGAGCTTGAATTCTTATCGTGAGCTAGCTTAAAAGGCTACTCGAAACAATAATCGTCATCATTCATCGTGATTTGCACTCATCATGATCTATATGTAGAAAAATTTATATTATTCTAAAAATTTTAATCATCGTTTTAGTTATGTCTAGAAGGGATGGCTGTTAAGCTGGCTGAAAAATTAACATATCAAATTAGCTTGATTCAAATTCTACAAGACTCCAAATTATGTTAAAATTTTACCACATAGATTTGATGATGTATTGAACAAAATGTACAGTGCCGATCACGAATTTGATGAGCTAATTCGTCTAGCTCACGTTAAAATTTAAGCTCACAATCTCACAATACTTAGTGTATATATATTTATATATATATATATATAATATATAATATATATATATATATATATATATATATATATATATATATAGAGAGAGAGAGAGAGAATAATGGAGGTGAGGCTGGCAGCTCACCTTCTCCGTGAGCTGTAAGTGTATGACATGTGAGCCCTACACCGATGTGACTAGTAGGGGCTCACATGTCCATACACTTCCAGCTCACGGGGAGAAGTGAGCTGCCAGCTTTACCTCCATTATTCTCTATATATATAATATAATATATATTATATATATATATATTATATATATATATATATATATATAATTATATAAAAGCGCGGGTAAGGCTCAATTGTAATACATAAAATTTCATATATATATATATATATATATATATATTATATATATATATATATATATATATATATGAGCGCGTAAAGCTCAATTGTAATCATTAAATTTCTTTATCTTTCATTGTACAAAGACACAAATTGTAGAGAGACAAGGGGACCACTAACAAAGCCACTAAATGCGCAACTTTTGGGTTGACATGTACCTCAAGCATTTCATCAGAAGCTAATTTATTAGTCAATCAATTAATTAAAACAAAGCATTGGATCAAGTTGTGATTAGTTTAGAATAATCTGTCTGCGCACGGCACCGTCATCAAAAAAGAAAAGATCCCATTTGCTAGCCACTGCGCTCCTGCTCTCTTGTCGTTTTCCCTCAGTACTATGTTCATCGCATCCCCATCTTAATAGAATCATTAGCCTCTTTAACACTTTAATCCTTCTGACTTTAATTAACCAATTTGTTAATAACTATATTTATATTAATAAAGTAAGATTAGTTCTTTAGACAGCTTGGGCTGCAAAGTCGCTGAATTTTGATTCTCTCTAACTTCTGTTTGGCAACGAAAAAATCATCCAAAATAATAATTGCTTTTGTGTGTGTGTATATATTTATTACTTCAAATCTAACGACTATTATAATCCTCTGAATCTCACTAATTCCTGTTTCGTTCAAGATAAATGATAATAATCTACTAAATCATAAAAGATTGTGATTAAAAAAAATAAGGGTGTTCTCCATTATCTATCTATAACAAAAAGAGTCAGATCCTTTTGTTGCTAAACCTAGAGGGTACTTGGGAAGTTGCCTTTTGATTTTGATGATAACAATTTCTAAAAAAATCTGTATACAATAATAATTTTTTTAGTCAAATCTAGCTTAGCTTAGTGATCTTATAAACTAGTTATTTCATGAATTAAGGAATCCTAACAGTTTTAAAATATGGTTTATTAGAAGCTGTCAGGACTTATTGAGAATGTTCATTAAATAGAGCTACTTCAACAAAGAAAAGGAGGGGAATAAAAGGCCCAAACACCTAAATCTGTGATCTAATTTATGTGGGCTCTGCTCCTGTGCTTTACCAAATCCTCAGTCCCATGTTAGTACTAGCTTAATAATGAATAATCTGATGCAAGATGCCAAGATCCACCTCAAGTGCTTACTTTAATGTTGCGATCTAAAATTCAAGAGCATCCGTAAAAGATAAATGAAGCATGTGTTGGGGAATTTTAGTCTCCCCGCATACTAGGATCTCCGCAACTTGGAAGCCAACCCACCCTCAATAAAATAGAAAATAACCGCAATCAAGAAGAAAGAACACCGAGATTTATGTGGTTCAGTCGACCAACTTCGACCTACGTCCACGGGGCAACAATACGAGAAATCGACTATGTATCAGGGAGAACTACAAGAGGAACCACTCAACTCTCGTCTCTCAATCTCTAATCAACTCTCATATTCTCTCCAAAACTCACTCCTTACAATCTTTTGAACGGACAAAGACTGCGAAACGCTCACCTAATGATGTAATCTTTTGCATGGACAAAGACTACGAAACCCTCGCCTCTCGCATAATATTCTTGAATCAGGCTACGCCCTCTGCTAACCCTAGATTACAAGAATATTGGCTCTCTCTCTCATATGTTTGGTTTTTCCTCCAACAATAGAAGAATGTATATAGGAAAACCAAAACTATATCTCTAGCCTAACTTCCTAATTAGAATAAGACTCAAACTCCTAATCATGATGAGACTCAATCTCCTAATCATGATAGATCTCCAACCCTATCTAATTCTCATGAAGTTATACAAAGAATAAAAGATACAATCCTAACAGCATGTTCATAAAACCTTAAGTTCCTCGAAAGAAAAAAGAAAAGATGTCAAACAAATCCAAAGCATGTATTCTTCTTTCATGCTAACAGAGCCCCAAGCTTTAACTTAAAACAGACCATGGGATCTCCCAAAAAAAGAAAGCGCACACACAGACACACCTCCTATATCTATTAACTCCAACATACTTGTCCTTAGAACTCATGTCATCTATCTTCCTTAGAAATTTACAGACTAGTTAAATACTAAAAGGCTCATTTAAGTACTCGTAGAATTTTAAAAAATTTCCCTCTTCATTAATCCTGAAGAGTATACTTCATCTATCCACAGAGAGAATAGTAGATTCCCGAGCAGATAGCCGGAATCTATTCATTATCCGCAGTTAAAAGCCGGACTCCTCGTCTGAAGCAGCTACAATTGGCTATAATATGACTACGGCATTATCCGTAAGGCCTCCACGGTTTACGATCAAACAAAATACAGGTCATCGCGCTTCACAACTTGAAACTAGACGAATCACAATACAGTTCCATAGACCTTATGATTTTTTTTTAATTACATTTTTCCGAAATGGGTCCTAACCGGGAAAATAAAAACTCAAGAGGCAAGTAAAATAAAACATATATACAAATAAAGAAATATGATGGCATAGTCCAGACGACGTCTTCTTGTAGATTATATAGGTTAATTTTATGCATCAAATTATATAGATTGATAAGGATAAACATTAACATGAGATTGACCAGCTAGACCACCACATTACAAGAAACAAAGCAACGTCAGGATTGACAGTGGCAACAACGAGTTGGTTTTTATTTCTTTCTACATCCTTGTCAATCAAATTATTGAAAGAGTTGTATACATTTGCTTACAGTTATGTCAAAACAAAAGTGTTCCTCTCGTTCTGGATGTTATAAGATCAGAGTTCATAGCACCGCGAGGTTCTTGCATCGTGTCTACAACGACAAAGGAACCTCATTGGGCACTGCTTCTAAAAGCTATGTTTCCTTATCCGACATCTATTTCCAGATTTAGATGAATCAATTATCGGGTTTCTCGTTTTCCCCTCTGTTTCCATATATCAAACCTCTGTCCTAATTTTGACACCATAAGAGAGACAAAAATATTTTTCAACTTGTGAGGAAAATCATCAAGTCAGTAACTATGATATAAATGATACATTTTCAATTTAAAAGTCCAAATAATACCTGAGGATCAGGAACAGGCTTTGTCTTCTCAACATAACGGTAAGGATCAGAGGCTGCTGCTAAAGCTGCTCTCTCCTGCAATATAGAACCATAAATGCCTTTAACATATCTATCCTTTTTTTTTTTTTTTTTGAATTACTAGAAAATACTAGGGTCCATTGCTTTCATTCAACCAAAATTAATGTATAGAAGACAAATTATTTCGAAGAAAGAAGTGAACATTGACGGAAGAAAAGGTTATTATAATTAAGAAGCTCAAGATTATTACAGTATCTATATAGCCCCACAACAAGAATTAAGAAGCTCAAGATTATTACAGTAGGAGAAACTTCAAAGCTTTCAAAAACATTATTATAATTAGCAACAGTTTCCTCCGTGTTAAATGGATTTAGGTCGACGTCACCAACAGTAGGAACCCATCCTTCTGATTGGCGAGCTGTTCCCACGAAGTAGGTTCAATGTGGTAGAAACAAGTTGGTCTAGTGGTTCTCGTGTGGAACACTAACCTTTGGTGTTACATTCCTTCGTAGCGTTAGATGCATTTATGATTTGCACTATGTTAGCTACAACCCCATTCCTATGATGACATTGCTCATATGATGCAATAGGTTAGGATGAGATACACTCTTAATAAGTCCAACATACGATTTGTAGGGGGAGACAATATCTAGTTGCAGTACCCCTGGAGGACTTGCCGATGTGAGAGGAACCGTGAAGGCTGTGGTTTGGGGCTCCAATCCTCCTGCTCAATAATTGATTGCGTACTGTGTGAGAATTTGTCAATATCTGGCAAAGGGGCCTAATTCAAGGCTTAGTCTATTATGTCCCTCATATTGCGACAAATATCATTAAAACAAGGTTCAAAGCCGAAAACTACCTATGTCCGAGTATTTTTTATGACTGCCTACTAGCCGGCCACAAGTTCCACAGGTCAAAGTCATGCTCCATCTCTTACAAAGGAAAGAGAATTTCGGGTGAGAAATTCAAGAATGACTATAGGACTGTTCTAATTATTATTGTAAATTTTTTTTTTCAAAGAATCATGAGTCATGTTTCATCTCCTATAAGGGAAAATGAAATTTCAATGAGAGATTCAAGAATGGATGATACAGCATAGTTTGCCAACTACTTATTATTATAATTTTTTTTTCCTTCTTTTTTAATTGATCTGCTGAAGTGGATAAGCCTTTCCTCATTATGTGTGAGCCACGTGACACACCTTCACATTTTGTTCTCTGTTCAAGAAAAGAGAGAGAAAGGGGGACCATGAGGCTAAGATAAGGAAAGTTGAGGCGGCTACTCCTTCGCTGAT